TATCTATTAGGAATGTGAGTTTATTTTCAGTTGAATGATTATAAAAAGTGACAAATAAATTAAGACTGTAATTGATGGAATGAACCTTTGCATTTACTGATTGTTTCCTAAAGGGTTCTGAGAGTTTTATTGTAATTGTATTATTGTAACCTTGGTTGGAGTTACCTCGGCCTCTTCCTCGATTTTGGCCTCGTCTTCCTCCACGGTTATTGTAATTATACCCGATACTCAAAATGAGTATTGGGGTATATTAGATTTGTGGTAAAAGTAGATGTGTGTAACGTCCAGAAGGAATCGTTTCCGACCCCATAGAGTATATATATTCTTGATCAGCATCAATAGCCGAGTCGATTGAGCCCCGTCTGTCTGTCCGTCCCCTTCAGCGCCTAGTGCTCAAAGACTATAAGAGCTAGAGCAACGATGTTTTGGATCTAGACTTCTGTGATATGTCACTGCTACAAAAATATTTCAAAACTTCGCCCCGCCCACTTCCGCCCCCACAAAGGACGAAAATCTGTGGCATCCACAATTTTAAAGATATGAGAAAACCAAAAACGCAGAATCGTAGAGAATGACCATATCTTTTAAACTGCAGAATCTGAATTGAATCGTATCGTTAGTTTAGCCTGAATCAAGAAAACAATTTCATTCTTTCTCGCTCTGTCTCTCTCTCTAACACACAGGTTTCATGGTCGGTTTTGCCAATTGCCAAATATGAGTTCAAGGATCTCAGAACCCATAAGAGCTAGAGCAACCAAATTTGGTATCCACACTCCTGTGATATCGGACCTTGACCGTTTAGTGTCAAATTTTCGCCACACCCCCTTCCGCCCCCGCAAAGGACGAAAATCTCGGGCATCCACAAATCTCAGAGACTATTAAGGCTAGAGTAACCAAATTTGGTATCCACACTCCTCTTAGATGTCACTATAAAACGTATATTTAATTCTTTCGCCCCACCCCCTTCCGCCCCCACAAAGGACGAAAATCTGTTGCATCTACAATATTGAGGTGTGATGATCCTATTTCAGGCTGAGGTAAGCTCAGCCACGTCCAGGGGTCTGTTCACAAGAAATTTGTAGAAATCTGTTGGAACCTTGAGGGCGGCGTCGGAGGGCGGCCTGTCGTAGAGAGGTGGATCGGGGGCTCGGGTGGGCGTTGTTACCGTCGTGTATATGGAACGACTGTGTGGACTCGGGGTGGGGGGACGTCGGTGTGACCTGTGTTGGGTCAGCGTTACGAAGACGGCGCCAGTCAATCGGTGGCTATGTGAGGAGGGGGGGTGTTCGCGTAGCGAATCACTTTGGGCGAGGTGTTGTAATTTAGTAGCCGGAACTTTATTGGGTGTTGGGAGAGGCGTTGTAGCGAGTTCGTTACACCCTCCCCTTTCTTCCCCGACGAGAGTCACGAAGACCCGTGCGTGGTGCGCGCGGCGGTGTGTCCGATACCGTTGCTCGAACCACCAGCTGTCGAACAGGGTTCGACCTTGCGGCTCCATGTCCTAGATAGCGGTATAGCTGCCCGTTTTCGTGCGTGTAGTCCGGGTATTTCTGGGGTTCGTTTTGGACTTGCTGGATCCTTTGTTTAAGCCAGGTGCATGCTGTGTTGTCCTGGGGGGTGCTTGCGCGACGTTGCACTCAGCGTGATGTACGAACGTGCGGGTCACGATTGCGGTCGTAGCGTTTGACCGACGGCTAGTTTGGGCGGTGAGGTTCACCGACATGGCTCCAGGCGTGGTGCTGGGCCGCATGCCGGCGCCGTACGAGGTGTTGCCCGGAAGGCGTTCCGTGATGTCGGTGACGACCGATGGTGTGTCGGCTCCAGGTGCGGCGGGGTTCCGATTGATGCCTCGTGCGGCAGTGATCGCCTCTCCCGGTTCCTGCCTGAGAGGACGCGGGAGTAGCGGGTCGGTCGGCGTCGTGGGGGTCGTTTTCGCGTCGAGGGCGGTGTCGACACGTTCGTGGGCCAGGGTGGCGGTCGGAGGTGGTACCTCGAGCGCCTGGCTGCTGCGTGGCGGCTGTCGTTGCTGGGGCCGGGTTGTCTTCTGGAGGGGCGTCCTGGGTTCCTTTCCCATTGTTGGTGGAACCGCGTCGGTGCCCTCGGGAGACCGGCTCGCTTTCTTCGTTGCTTTGCTTAGTTTTGAGTTTCTCGGGGTGAGCCTGGGGCTGGTGCGCCTCGTTGTGGCCATGGATTCTGTGTTCCTTGTTCCTTGTGCTCGTGTCTTGTGTCGTGGCGGAGGGTTCGTTGGCGGCGGGGGTCTCAAGTTCTGGGGTCCGTGGGTGTGTACTTGGCTGGCGGTGATCATCGGCGTGTTTGGGAGGGGGCGTTGGGAGCCCTGGAGATGGAGGCGTGTGGTGCCACATTTAATTGTGGTTTCGATGGCGCACAGGAAATCCATCCCTATGATGGCTTGCTCTAACATGTTGGGTAGTACCAAGAGCGGCATCTGTACCTCTTGTTCGTCTAGTTTGACGCGCGCTAGCAAGATCTCAGTTATCTCGCGTGCTGAGCCGTCGGCTAGGCGTATCGGGATGCAAGCGTCGCGCAGGTCGTTGTCGTGGCCGAGTTGGCGGGCGAGGTCGGCGTTGATGAAACTTCGGGACGCCCCGGTGTCGACCGTGGCTTCCGTGCGCCGTCCTCCGATGGTCACTCTCGCCACTATCCGGCCGTCGTGTACTTGTAGCGGGTTTCTTAGTTGGTTTTCTGAGGAAGCGTCGTGCCCGGCTGTTCCCGTGTCAGCTGGGGACGCGAGTCGTTTCCCGACGGGTCCTGGCGGCAGCAGCCCACGGTGCGTGTTCCGCGCTTGCCGCATTCCCAACAGAAGAGGATCGATGGGTTGGCGCAGTCGCGAGATACATGTCCAGCTTCTCCGCAGCGTCGACAGGCTGCGTGCGGGTTGGCGATGGGGGTGGTGATCATGCGATGTGTCGCTTCCTGTGCTGAAGCGCCGGCTTGGTGCGGCTTCCTTGCGGGTTCCGAGGTGTTCCAGCGGGGCTTTCGGTATTGGGCCCGATTCGCCCCGTTTTCGTTATGCACTTGTTGTGCCGCTGGCCGTGTGTACCTAGGTGGTTGTCGAGGGGGGATGAGGGTCGCCGGTATGCTCCGCTCCTGGATACTCTCGAATTCTGTGGCCAACATTGTCAGTTGCGTCAGACTTCTCAGTTCGTGCCTTCGCACATACAGCTGGTACGCCGGGAGGGTGTTGTCATAGATCCGGCTAAGTTCCTTGGCTTCGTCGTACCCGGCGTGGTGCATGAGCAACCGGAGCTCGATGACGAAGTCCTTAAACGGTTCGCCCACCGCTTGTTTGCGGTCCCTGATCTGGTCTTCCAATTGCTCGAAGTACCGGGGAGGCAGGAAAAAGGCTAGGAACTCCTGGCGGAAATCGGCCCATGAGGCGCTCTGGAGTCGGCTGGTGCGGAACCAACGGTTGGCTCGGTCGGTGAGGAGCTCTGCCATGGCTCGCGGCACGTAGTTCATGTCTACCCCGTACGAGAGGGCACGCTCTTCCAGTAGTTCGACGAACGACAGTGGGTCGTCCTGCCCGTCGAACTGGATTCCCCACTTTCGGATCCGTTCCGCCATCTGTGCGGCGTGACTGTAGTAATGGCCGTCTGTGGGGCCATTTCCTACTGCTGTCGGCAAGATCCTTCTCATGGGCGAAGGCCTTGGCTCCGGGGGCGGGGGCTTCGGTAGATCTTCGGCGGTTATCGATGTCGGTGAGGTGCTGGCTTTGCCTTCCACGAATCCTGGAACTTGTAGGCTGAGTTTGGGGTCCGTCTTCCTCTTCTCTGTTGGTGCTGAGGTGTCGGGCTGGGGCGATCTGGCTCGTCCTGGCGATCTGGCGTACTGCCGCTCGAGCTCTGACAGCCTGACCCAGGCATCGTGTTCGAGTGGCCCGGCGACTAGTTCGGCGAAACTCCTCCGCAAATCTTCCACGTTCCCCTCGCGGCTGAATCCGAATTCCTCCGCGAAGGACTCCAGCTCCTCTCGGCGACGTTTGTGTATCCAGCCGGTAATCACCCCTGGGTTGGCGATGAATTCTCCAGGGTAATACCCGCTGGCCTGTTCCTCTGTGTGGGATTCCATCGCTCCGATCGTTACTTGAGTTGGCTGTTTCGCTGGGCTTGCGCTTTTCCTTCACTAGGGCACTGTGTCGAGCTTCGCGGCTGACGCTTCGAATTTCTTCTCGGGGTGACGGCACCGTTCGCGTTTCTCTGTCGCTGTGTCGCGCTTTCGTCTGCTCGTTGTGCAACTCTCGGCGTTGATATTGCGCGAGGTCGGGGTTTTCTTTGGGTTGTTCTCTTGTGTTCTTGCTCTAGTGGCCGTGGGGTTTTATTCCACAAACCCTCGCTGACGTTCCCTCAGGTCCCTGCTCGGGCGCCACTTGTGATGATCCTATTTCAGGCTGACGTAAGCTCAGCCACGTCCAGGGTTCTGTTCACAAGAAATTTGTAGAAATCTGTTGGAACCTTGAGGGCGGCGTCGGAGGGCGGCCTGTCGTAGAGAGGTGGATCGGGTGGGCGTTGTTACCGTCGTGTATATGGAACGACTGTGTGGACTCGGGGTGGGGGGACGTCGGTGTGACCTGGTGTTGGGTCAGCGTTACGAAGACGGCGCCAGTCAATCGGTGGCTATGTGAGGAGGGGGGGTGTTCGCGTAGCGAATCACTTTGGGCGAGGTGTTGTAATTCAGTAGCCGGATCTTTATTGAGTGTTGAGAGAGGCGTTGTAGCGAACCCTTTTGGGTTCGTTACAGAGGATACGAAAAAACTATAAACGCAGAATCATAGAAAATAAACAATCAAATCGGATAATTTGTATAGCCAAAAGCAAGAAATCAATTTGCAGTGGCTACGCAGCGTCCGATGTCACGCTTAGACTGATTTTTTGTCTCTCTCGCACGCACTCTGTGTCGTGTCGTTTAATATTAGCGGCGTCTGCCGGAGGAGAGCCATACTGACTTAGTATCGGGTATAAATGTAGAGTTGCGGTGTCCGCAGCAACTCACAACGTTCCCCCTCGTTTTTTTTGTTTTCAACAAACAGGGGAGAAACGAAAATGAAACTACAGCTCGCGAAGCGCATTTTAGCTTTCCCGGCATAAGTCGCTTCTGCAGGCTTAAGGGGAGCGTAAAGCTGATCCTTAATGGCGCAAGGTGATCGTTGCTAGGTAAAGATAGACGGAGGCAGTTAACGTAAATATGAAATATTTGATAGGGACTTACGGATGGCAGTTGAGCATTTTGTCAGTATTCGATGTCGCAAGTGAACGTAAGTCACGGCCGTTCAAAAAAAATGAACAGGAAGTTTGCGACGGACACATTGCCTGGTGAGCTGTGATGTGAATCTGATATTGGAATAAGCTAGAGTAAGTCAGGTAAGTAAATGTTCATTGGAGTTTCTCACCTGTTTGCTAAAAAAAAAAGGCCGCTTTCGTGCTTTGAACCTGTGGTCTGTCTGCCGAGATGTGGTGAGGAATGGGTGGCCCGGGAGTCGTAAAGACAGCCCGCGATGCATCGGTTGTCATGGCAGATCGGTATGATGGATGACAGGAATAAACCACAAGCAAAGTGGGCTCGTGCACCGTGAGGCTTCTCGCTTATCGGCTATCGCTTTGAGCGATGACTAGAGTAGGTGACCGGTCACACAAGTGGTGTACGTAATTGTAGATATCCGTAGGGCTGTCAAGTGGAGCGCAGAAACTGGAGCGGTTGCTGGTCCCGGCTAGTCACGTGTCCTTAGGTCCTTGTTCTTAGGTTTTGTGTTGTGTTGAATGTATTTGAAGTTTAAGCGTCTTAGGTGTCGACCGAATATACATATATGTTATTATTTATTCAAATATTTAATTGTATATATCTCGCTAACGGAGCTAGTTGGCGCAATATTTATATCGGTATTTAAGTATTTATTTATCTGAGTATTTATTGGTCCAAAGCGTAGTGCTATTTATTTATTGCTAGATATTTATTTTGGTATTTATTTATTTATATATATATTTATCGTAGTTGAGGAGCGATTTTAGTTCATTTTTTGTTGTAGTATTGGTGTTGCTCAGTGCAGATGCCACAAGAAGGGGGTAGTCGACCGTATCATACGCGATCACGCGTAAACGAAACAGTGGACCCGATAGGAGAAGCGTCCGGGGCGATATTCGATCAAGATCGGGAGGAACTTGGAGCTGTCTAGGCCAGGAAGATGGGCCATTTTTGGCTCGCTTGGGGTGAGGTGGTATTGGTCCGGAACCGTCATCAGGAGTAGGGGCGACCGCATCCAGTAGGCAGCATAAACGGGCTGAGAATCAAGCGCGAGATTGGCGAAACCCGATAGCACGTAGACACTCAGGTCAGGGTTGTGGCGAGAGAAAGAGAGCTGGTGAAATTCCTCGAGTTTGAATTCCGCATTCAAACCCGCCGGGTTATAGACCTTGGCCACGGTGGGCCGAGACGAAAAATGGGATGTAACGTTCGACGGGGACAGCAACAAAATGACGGTCGAGGATTTTTTGTTCCGAATTGAATTCCTACAATCCCAATGTCGCTGCCCGTGGGATGAGGTTCTCAAGGGATTCTATCACCTGGTTACAGGAAACGCGCGGGAATGGTACTGGCAGTCCATTCGCGATCATGGCGGTGGTGTTTGGCAGGATCTTAGGGACGACCTAATTGCACGTTTCCGAAGCACGGCGTCCGAGCTTGACCATATGAGAGAACTGCGGGAAAGAATGCAGCGGTCAAACGAGAGTGTGAAAGATTTTTTCCATATCATGAGGAAGCTCGCCTCGAGGTTGGAGACCACCTGAAAAGGAGGTGGTAAAAAAGTCAAAAAGGCACTCACAGATGAGATAGCGAGTTTCGTCTACGGCTTACGGGTTTATTCCTTAGACCAACTACGGGATGAATGCGTGGAAATAGAGGCACACCTGAAGAGGAAGGCTAGATCTTCGTGGCGAGGATCAACCAAAGCCACCAGCTATGGCCGCGGGGTGATTAGCAATGAAGAGGCAGAGGTCATTAAGAAAGCGCAAGTGACACGGCGTGTTCCGTAAAAGTTGATTTGCTGGAACTGCGGGCAGACCAATCATGGCTTTAGAGACTGTATGGCATCGGAGAGGCGAATTTTTTGCTACCGGTGTGGAAAGCCCGAAGTATATTGCCCGACCTGCCAGAATTGCGCGGGAAACGCGAAGAGGAGTGCGATCCAAGCAGCGAATAACGCTCACAGAGGGGGCCTGCGCAGAGAAAGAAGAGAAGAAAAATGAATTAGATAGACGTTATTTGCATGCTAGATTAAATAACTTATCATATGAAGAGCGGTTAAGAAATTATTTAGAAACCCGAAATATAATATTTTCTGAACTACAAGTGGATGGTATGCGAGCACCGTCAGTTCGGGTGAAAAAGGCGAGATTCCGGATTAAGCAAAGGCGAACTATGAGGAGGTAGGTGATTGCTTCAGTAAAACGCTGTTGCAAAAAAGACCCGAGAGTTTTCGTAATAATCTCTATAATGGGAGAGTCCATGAGAGGCCTTTTGGATTCAGGCGCTACACACAGCATGCTAGGGCGAAATGGTCAGGAATTCCTGGAGAAGCTTGGCGTAGAGGGAGAGGTAAAAAGATTAACGTTTTTGTTATGCCCTTTCTTGGAACAGCAAACTTACGGGGGGGGTAGATTTTTGGGGGGTATTCTCATTGGCTCCTGAGGTGATGGGAGAAGGTCTAGTAGGGGCATCTCACAGATTAGTGGAAGAAGTGCTGGCTGATCAAGTCGCTCACTATGTGGAAGGCCCAGAGAAGGAGATAGTGCAGAAAGAATTGGAGTTGTCGGAAGAGCAGAAGGCAGCCTTGGATCACGTGAAGGCAGAGTTTCTGACTTTCAAAGCTGTAGGCCTGGAGAGGACGTCGAGAGAGACTCATAAAATGCAGGTAGTGGAGACGGCTGAACCTGCAAGAAGTGGTGTGTGGGGAGGTGTACAAAATGTTGGTCATCAACAAGTCATCAAGTACAGTGGTGCGAAGGCCGGCAAAAATCTTTTTTGTCTCGATGCCCGAAAGCTCAACAAAGTAACCATCAAGGACGCATCAAGGAATCCTAGAATCGAGGGGATTTTGTCTCGATCAGACGATATACATCTCCAGCGTCGATTTAAAATTCGCTTTTTGGCAAATCGAACTACGGCCTTTTTACCAGTTTCGTATGATGCCCTTTGGCCTCTGCAACGCTGCACAACGTCTATGTGGACTGGTCGACAAGGTCATTCCGGTAGAGATGCGTTCAGCCGAGGACTTCGAAACGCACGTGAAGATTCTGGATCCGGATCGTGTGTCGGCCATCTTACGCATTCCCGAGCCGCGATCTGTACGAGAATTGCATAGCTTCCTGGGAACTGCGGGCTGGTATCGGCGCTTTATGAAGAACTATGCTGAGATAGCCGTTCCGCCAAGCTAAATTGTCGCCAGAAGAACTACTCGGTGACAGAGAAGGAGTGTCTGGCAGCTCTTATGGCGATCCTAAAGTTCCGTCCGTACGTAGAGCTTCTGCCATTTACAGTCATTACTGACCACGCCAGTCTCAAATGGCTCATGACCATGAAAAACCTGGATGGTCGCTTGGCTCTGTGGTCCCTCCAACTACAAGCCATCGATTTCGCCATAGAACACCGGAAAGGAATAGACAATGAAGTGGCAGATACATTGTCGCGCAGTATTGAAGAGGTCGAAGTGGATCCGAGTGGTATCCTGGGTTTCGAAACGGTGGAGTTTGAATCTGAGGAATATCAGGAGTTACAAAATACAATCACAGAGAACCAAGAACGCTTACCCGACCTCCATATTGTTGATGGCATGATATTTAAGCGCATACGGTTTCAACGATTTGACGATCAACTGGAGGGATCCGTCTGGAAATTGTGGGTTCCGAGCACGCTGATGGCCGCACTGATAGACAAAGCACACTTACACATAGAAGACAGTGCACGGTGGAATCGCGAAACCCTTGCATTTATTGCGTCGGCAGTTTTACTGGCCGAACATGGTATTAGAGGTGCGGGATTATATCCGACGGTGTACCGTGTGCAAGGAGTCGAAAGCACAGAATAATCGGATGCAGGTCGGGATGGGGCAAGAGGTGGTCACCGAGCGCCCGTTCCAAAAACTGTACATTGATTTCTTGGGCAAATATCCGAGATCAAAAAACGAAGGTTCCGAAGTTCGCATTCTTGAAGACCATGAACAAGGCCACAGCAAAGGAAGTTGTGAGGTTCTTCGTCCACGAGGTATTTTCCAAGTTTGGAGACGGACAATGGGGGTCACCCATATGAGGACGCCGGTTTATTCTCCGCAGAGTAACGTAGCCGAACGCGTGAATCGCACAGTTCTCAACGCGAGTCGGGCGTATCTGGAAGACGACCACCGGGACTGGGATGCGCATCTGCCGGAGATAGAACTGGCCATTAGGAACTCGGTTCACGAGGCGACGGGCGTAACGCCATTCTTCGCAGTCTTCGGGCAGCAAATGTACTTACATGGGTCATGCTACAAGCTGGCAAAACGACTGCGGTCACTCGGCGAGCAGGACATATCGCTGCTGGAGAGTCAGGACAAGCGACAAATCATCCAAGAGAGGATTCGCGCTAGTCTTCATCAGGCATACGAGCGTAGTGGGGTACGGTATAAGCAGCGAGCTCGGGTGTTCTACGCGCGGCAGAAAAATGTAAGGCACGCCGGCATGTGCTCTAGAGTGTTCCTGAATCCGGTGGTCATGCCCACGCGTATTTTGTCCCTCCAATGACTGACGACATACTCGTGGTGGTGTTCCAGCCCCACCTGAACGATATAGTTTTAAAAGATGGTTTAAGTAATGGCTTAAAATCAATTTACAAAAGGAGTTCGGTCTCGGACGGAGATTTCTTTTCCGCGTTATAAATTTCCGCAATATTCCGAATCAGTTTTTTTCGCCACCCAAGTTAGGGATAGGGATGACAGAAGCAACGATACTTAATCTCGGTATATCGACCAAGGGGTTCTGTGTCCCTTTAACGATAGTTTTGGCTCATCAGAGCCATCACTAAGTATAGCCGTTTCTCCGAAGTACTAAAAGAGTGTGACCACAAAACATCAGATACTCTATTCTGTTCGGATCAGTATGGCCGTTCACAGTAATTTTTGGTATACATATTTTGAAGTCGATAGTTAGATTTATGATATATTGGTATATTCCATCCATTTTATGGTATATATTAGTATATTTGATCGATTTTTTTTGCAATAATTCCAGTCAGGGTGACCGTTTACGGTATTTTTTAGGTCTAAATTGAACCGACGGTATATTTACGGTATATCGGTATATAATGGAATATTTAGTTAATTTCATCAATCTATTAGATTTAATTTTTAAAGGTATATAGAAATACAATAAAAGCAACTTTTAAGAATAAGCCAGTCAAGTATACAATTGATTCCCTGATCGGATACAATTATGTGGGCATGGCTAAATGTTCTATATAGCTAGTAATATTCCACGGAATATTAAAAACGACGAACATGTAAAACTGAACTTGAATTTGTCTATAAATTTACAGTATATTGTTTAAATGAGACGGTATATTTTGGTATATTTAACGATAAATCCGCGGTAACACTGATTCCAGTCATTTATCTGCGACGCTTCTAAAAACTGAAAATTTTGCCTGCAAAAATTCTTTAACACCTTCTCTTGCAGCATTTAACTAAAGAAAATACGTAAAGGCGAGCTTTCAACCAATAAAAAGGATAAAAAACCGAAATATCAGCACTTTTAAACGCTTGTGTAGAGCGAAAAAATATGCACATATAGGAGCACTCGTAAATGTACATATATGTGTCTTTCTACTTATATGCATTTCATCGACGCGTACCTGCATATGTGTGGATTCTTTCGTGTGCGTGTTTTTCTAGAAAATGTGTTTTGTTTTTTCTATATGCATATATTTCCCACGTTTTTCCTATTTCTAGGGAGAAAATATCCAAAATGCCCAATATTAAACTGCAGTCCTCGGACGAGGAAATCTTCGATACCGACATCCAGATCGCGAAGTGCTCTGGAACTATCAAGACAATGCTTGAGGATTGTGGAATGGAGGATGATGAGAATGCTATTGTCCCTCTGCCGAATGTGAATTCTACCATTTTGCGTAAAGTTCTGACCTGGGCCCACTACCATAAGGATGATCCTCAGCCCACTGAAGATGACGAGAGCAAGGAAAAGCGCACCGACGACATCATCTCGTGGGACGCCGATTTCCTCAAAGTAGACCAGGGCACACTCTTCGAGCTAATCCTGGCCGCCAATTACCTAGATATCAAGGGTTTGCTCGAGCTGACTTGCAAGACCGTGGCAAACATGATTAAGGGAAAGACTCCAGAGGAGATACGTAAGACTTTTAACATTAAGAAGGACTTCACTCCCGCCGAAGAGGAGCAGGTGCGCAAGGAGAATGAGTGGTGCGAGGAGAAGTGAGAAGGCGTAAAAGGGAAGCGGTTGACCATCAAGCCGCCTTCAGCTGCTGGCTGATTACACAATAATTTAATAATTTTCATTTATTTATTTTTTATTAACCCTATTCTGCGGTTACTTTGTCATATACTAATTAAAATATGCGAAATGTATATGCACCCTATGCGTACCCTTTGTACCCTATGCGTAAGAAAAATAGCTTCACATGAATAAATTTAACCAATCTAAAAAAATTTCTGGGTTGTATCGTAGTCCAGTGCTAGTGTCCCTCGAAAACTTAGTGCGTCGTGGGCACTGCCATCGCAGTATGGGACTTGGCTGCACTTGTCTTACCAGAAGCCCTGATGAATGTCGTTTTCAGACACTATGCTCAAAGATTATAGGGGTATATTAGTTTTGTGGTGGCAACGGAGGTTGCCATTAGTATATAAATAGCTATTCGGTGGTTTGTGTTTGAGTTTTTTATGCTAATTATTTCGTTTTGTGTGTTTAGGGAGTTTAGATGAAGTTTGTGCAAGTTGATGTCATTTATAGAGTTGTTAATCCTGATCTCTTCCAGTGTTGGGATTAATAAGGTGTTCTCCTCTGTGTAGTCAACTTCTTGATCATCATATGTTAATCCGTTTATTGAGCAATTTTTGAAAGTAATGATAGCCGATCCGTTTATCGTCCTCGGTGTGCTGCGTGATGATGTGATTGTTGTATTTAATGTGTTGAAAATTACGATGTACCGTCGTTCCACTTCTCTGATTGTTTGTTCGGTGCCAATATCTTTAGTGTCGCAGGTGGAAATCTGGTTATTGAATATACCCTCTAAGCATTGTTGATTGATGTTATTTGCTGGTGTCATATTGACTTCGCAGATGTAGGTATGGTGTATTTTGAGGCATTTTATTTCGAAGCTTTTTATGTCGTGTAAAATATAGTTAGGTAAGATTAATAACATAGATTTATTTATCGGTAATGGAACATTGTGTAGGAATTTGTAATTATTTTTGTCAAATATTGGAATTTTAATTTTAAAGAATACAGTTTTATTGTTAATTTCTGTTTCTAGGGTCAATAGTCGATGCAGGTGTTCTTCAGAGTTTACAATTATATTTTGTTCTTTCAATATGTCCTGGATAATTTCTGTTTCTTTATCGGTAAGTATGAATTTGAATATTCCTAATTTGGTTAACAATATGCTTTCGGCTATTTTGTTCACATGATTATACAGGACGTCTATATTGAAGTTAATTCTCGAAATATATTGTAAAAGGTATATTTCGTTGTGTTCGTCATTTAATGTTTTAAAAATATTGTTTTTGTAGTTTCTTATAAATACATTTATATTTTCTTGTTCCTCGTTAATATGATTGTTAATATTCTTAAATCTAATCGTTATTTCGTTATTTATAATATTTTGTTGATTAATGTTTTTTAATATGTTTTTTTTCGTTTTATTTTATTTTGTTAAATTCGTTTGTAAAAGTTTCTTCGTCTTTGGCATCTAGGTTGCCTGTGACAACTTTGATAACGCTTCCGAGGCCATTTATAAGTCCTCTTTTGGATCTATTTTTTGGTAGTATTGCGTCTATTTTGTGTTTTAATTGTCTAAGTTTTGTTTTTACTGTACTTATGATTTCGCCTGAAAACTTTGAATCTTTGAGTTGGTTTAGTGTAACCTCGAATTGGTTTACATTGTTAGTGAAGTCTTGTAAATTTATTCTATGGATAAGATACTTATGAGAGATTACGTTTTTGGAGTTTCCGAGATTTATAATGGCAATTTTGTCATTTTGCGTCAGTTGTTGGATTTTAAATGGTTGTGCATTAATTTGATAGCATTTTTTTGTGGTCGAGCGTGTTCGTCGTGGTCGCAACTTGTCTTTTCTTATTTTTTTTTTTTACTGGCTATAATGCGATAGATTTTCGTTAAGGAAGAGTGCAGTCTCTCTACTGGTGAATTGCTTGAGGACTGCTGAAACGATGTAACATGTAGTTGGATGTTATATTGGCTACAAAAATCTTTGAACATTTTGCCTGCGAATTCGGGTCCCTGATCGCAGACGATCTTTAGTGGGATATCGAAGGAGCTAAGGAAATTTCTTATTGATCTTACTATATTCAGGCTATCTCTGGGTGGGATAGTATATCCGGTTGCAAATTTGGAGAATTTGTCGATGATTGTCAAAATAGTTTTAGCGTTAATCGTGTAGATGTCGATATGTAAGATTTGCATGCGTATTTGAGGGGTTTCGGTTTCCTGATAAACCAGCTTTTGCGGTGGCCTGTCGTACTTTAAGGTTTGACAGATACCCGATACTCAAAATGAGTATTGGGGTATATTAGATTTGTGGTGAAAATGGATGTGTGTAACGTCCAGAAGGATTCGTTTCCGACCCCATAGAGTATATATATTCTTGATCAGCATCAATAGCCGAGTCGATTGAGCCCTGTCTGTCTGTCCGTCTGTCCGTCCGTCCGTCTGTCCGTCCCTATTAGCGCCTAGTGCTCAAAAACTATAAAAGCTAGAGCAACGATGTTTTGGATCCAGACTTCTGTGATATGTCACTGCTACAAAAATATTTCAAAACTTCGCCCCGCCACTTCCGCCCCCACAAAGGACGAAAATCTGTGGCATCCACAATTTTAAAGATATGAGAAAACCAAAAACGCAGAATCGTAGAGAATGACCAAATCTTTAGACTGCAGAATCTGAATTGGATCGTATTATTATTATAGCCAGCATCAAGAAAACAATTTCATTTTTGCTCGCCCTGTCTCTCTCTAACACACACGTAGCATAGCCGGCTTTGCTTAGAGTAAAACATTAGTGCCTAGATCTCAGAGACTATAAAAGCTAGAGCAACCAAATTTGGTATCCACACTCCGAAGATATCGGACCGAGACGAGTTTGTTTCAAAATTTCGCAACACCCCCTTCCGCCCCCGTAAAGGACAAATATCTGGGGATATTCAAAAATCTCAGAGACTATTAACGCTAGAGTAACCAAATTTGGTATCCGCACTCCTGTTAGATCTCACTATAAAACGTATATCTCAAAATTTCGCCCCACCCCCTTCCGCCCCCACAAAGGACGAAAATCTGTTGCATCCACAATATTGCAGATTCGAGAAAACTAAAAACGCAGAATCATAGATAACGACCATATCTATCCGGTTGATGAATCTGGATCAGATCAGATCAGATCATTTTTATAGCCAAAAGGAACAAATCAATTTGCACTGGCTACGCAGCGCCCGACGTCACGCTCAGACTGATTTTCTGTCTCTCTCGCACGCACTCTTTGTCGTGTCGTTTAATATTAGCGGCGCTGCCGGAGGAGAGCCATACTGACTTAGTATCGGGTATAACTGTAGAGTTGCGGTGTCCGCAGAAACTCACAACGTTCCCCCTCGTTTTTTTTCTTGACGGCACTGTATAGATATATTTCTGTTTTTGATATTATTTATATTGTTTTATACACGTATTGTTAATTCCACCACAGCATTTGTTTGAGCGACTTATTGCATTTCATTTGTACTATACTTGTGTTAGGGTATTTCATTTTCTTACTTGTTAGATTTTTACATTTTTATCTGTATATATGTATTTGTATTTGGGTATTTTTTTTTCCTTATTGTCATTTTTTCTTTTATCATTTTGTATTTGTCACTTATAACTTACATTAGTAGGAGTAAGATGTTACTCATGGTTCGTTGGTTCGACTGCGCCAGTTACAAGTTCCAGTGAGGCGGGTAGTTGTTCTTACTACAGGTGCTGGAAACTGATAAAGGGGAGAAGGGGTTCTCTTAAATGATGAATGCCGATTTGAAGGTTTTCTTTATGTGAATATGGTAAAACGTTTATTGGAGCTTCAAGATATATCTGGAGTGACAAAAGTATTCCGGCTGGGATTCAGGAATTGACTGCTTGGTCAGTGGCGATCACTGACTTATGTAGGCGGCTCTGCCGCTGGTTCTTTGGCGTCGCTGTCGGCATAGCTGCAGCTGGAATTCCTAAGAAAATGCTGATGTTACATTTAAGGTCAGTTTGCTGATTCTTGGCTGGGGTCCTTCCGGTTTATATGGTAGACAATGTTGACTGTGCTGATGCCATATGCTCAGGCGGCATAAACATCGTGCTCGTGCAACTTGAGTTGGATGTTTATGCTGAGTTGAGTCGTGGTGGTTTAGCGGGAGGCATCTCGAGGGGTGCCAGGACGGTAACTCGCGCCCTTCCTCTATTTAAATTTACTGCATCATGTTTCGATATATCCAAGCTTTAATATCTAATAATCAACAATCTCATCTTTCGCTTAATCTAGACTTTAACTTTTCTGCGTGTAGATAAATACATATGTAGATAAGTAAATACAAGAAAAATTACCAATAACCAAAAACACCAAAACGTTTTGCAAAATCTAGATAAATCAATAAATTATAACTCTTCGTGTAAATATATGATTGTGTTGAGACGATGACGGGGATACTCTTACTCATGCGGGAATGATGTTATATGCATGTGTGGAGGTAAATATATATATGTATATATATGAACAAGGCTTTAAGTTAATGTGGGCAACTACCGAGACAAACCTATCAAGGGCTAGACTGTTCAATATTTAATGAGGCATGCTCCAAAAACAGGTAAGTTTACATTTCCACAAATACACCATACAACTCGAAGAGCTCGTGTGCTCCCCGTGTCACCCCCTAAGGGTTAAGCCTATGCGACCGATCAGCTGTTGGCAGTTAGTTCTGTAGGGAAATCACCATGATTTAAGTTACTTAAATCACTAATGAATGCAACAAAACAATAAAGGACGACACGAGAAACAACATAACATTAAATGTGAAAGGTGTTTGGCAAGTAAATTTTTTTTTTGTATGTTTAAATTTACGCGACGCGGGCGGATCGCTGGCCGTGGCTGGTCAGCCCTAAATCTATACACATATATATGTACATATGTATGTATGTTGGTGCGTGTCGGTTTTAACCGGGTGTATACGTGTGTATGCATGTGTAGCGTTCCGGGCTCTGACGGGGTTCATGAGACCATAAGGTGCTGCAACGACAACGCGATCAGGCAAGAATCGCCCTGGCACCAGCGCCGTCCTCTTGCCCATCGTTTCACGTCCCGACCTTTTTGGCTCACACCCACGCAATTGGAACGAACTCACTCGGAGAGGTTCACGTTGGACAGTCTTCAATGTAGTCGACACTCTCACGAACTTCAGTGTTCCTC